CACAAAATCCTAAACGGCATGTGAAAGAAAAACATTCAATCCGGTACTGTTCGTTATCCATCAGGAGAAGCTATTTATTCTCAATAAAAAGACATTTAATGTTAGAGAGCTTCGCTTTCATCCAGCATTAAAAGCACTAACGCTGGACCAGTGGCACATTTGTGACAGGTTTCAAGCTGCAACCACTGAAGCGTTCAAATAAATTGGATCAAATGACTTAAATTTGCAAAAGTGAACAGATCTGCATTGCGTTTTTCTGTCAAAGGTTTGCAGATGATTTTTACTGCGCCTTCAAAATCTCAAAACCAACACAAATAAAATATTTAACACGTTAATGTGAATAAATACGTGATAAATGCATAATTAGCATATTTTATATATTTTAGACATGCTCACTTTTTATTTACTTTATTCGAGTCTCATGAATATGTCAAATGCAGGTTATTTGTGCAGAAGTAGTGTCTTCATTCAGTAGACAGCCACTAACCAAGCTGATACAATTCAGCAATAATCTTTCAGCTGAGAAGCTTAAAGGGTAGATGTCATTGAGTTCGATTTGGTGCAGATGAAAGGCTAAAATTCTTGTAATCATACCTCCTCAACTGATTCCCCTTATAGCTCTACTTCTATCTGTTTCTCCTCCTCCAAAGCTGGGCTTGTTCCTTAGTGGGGATTAGTTTGAGCAGTAGCTCTGAACAGGGAAGTGGGCCCTGCCAGTCAAATTACATAACTCGCCCCCGCTGCTGCGCCTCAGCCTGGTCTGGCTGGAGAGACGACCATAGAGGCTTTGTTTTCCCAACCTTCCCTTTTTCCTCCCCTCTGCTGCTCCTCCCCCTTCCCTTAGAGGCAGACTGCATACTGATGCTTTATAGAGGGAGTCTGTTTGCAGGGAACAGGGGAGCCACTGTGGCTCGGAGTATAGAGGAATACGCTAATGGCAAGCTGAATGGCAGGGAGTTCACATCTTAAGCAGGGGAATTTTAGGTCTACTGTTGGTCATACATTTTCAAGGAAATGAAGGCAAAGAAATGCAGTACTCTGCTTTATTGCCTGCCAAGGGTTTTCATATCGGCATTGCAGTGATTGCATAGAGAATTCAAGTTTATGTGTGTTGACATTCTCCAATTGGACAAACTGTGAGATGAGAGAAATAATTTCTATTTTATTTTGCCTCCTTGTCCTCATAGAAACCCTCCTCTCCATGTCACAGTATTACCCTGGTATTGTACTGGCCCCCCAACGTTATTATGACTGACTTAAAAAGATTTTCATAGACTCTACTGTTTGCGTGTCAAAGTACTGTA